TTCCTTTAATACAAAAAAAAAATCCGGGACGGCCAGCGTCCGTTACGGACCACTACGTTTGGGTCCGTTAAGGACCACGTGTAGTCCATAACGGACCATCCAGTGTCTACTGGCTCGTCGGAAAACTCCATTTTTCGGCGAGCTCTGTCTCATTTTTTTCCACTTTTTTTAACATTTTAATATCAAATTCAACATTTTCTTCCATTTTAACCATAAAAAATTGAATTTAACTTATATTCAAACCCCTAAACATTCAAACTTCCACATATTACAATGGAGAGTAATTATTTACAGAGATCTAACATTCCAGAAATGGTGATTTTCGACTGTTCAACGTGGGTCCGGTCTTGGTCGAAGTGGGCCAGGTCTGGACTCCTTTTTTTTTCCTCTCTATTTTCCTCTTCTCTTCTTTCCAAATGAGGGTATTTTCGCCCCTTTGGATTTAGTTTACATTTTTTTTATTAACAAATCTGGTCAAAGGCCATTTTGAAAAAATGGCCGGGTGGAGTAGCCATAGGCCACTATTTCCTCTTAGTTTGATCCCTACTTAGAGCCTATTTGATAATTATTATTGCAGAAAAAATAGTTTTAAATAATAATTTTAGAAAAATATGTGGTTGTAAAATAAGGAAACGTTTTTGGTATAAGTGTAGATTATTTTTATTGTATGAATATGTGATTAAAAATAATATTATAGCAAACCATAAAATTAATTAACGATTGTGAAATAGGCACTTAGTAGAAAAATAGATTTTGTAATAATAATTTTTTTAAAAATATGCAATTAAAATATAGAAAAGTGTTTTAAATTTACGTATAAAATTATTTTACGAGGGATTAAAAATAAACTGACTTGGACAAGAAAAAGTCAACAAAGTTGCAAATGCACCACATTTCACTGCATGGGAATGGACAAATATGCACCAAATTTTTTCGCTGAAACATTGGGATTCAACACACACGTGCCCTACAACATCTGTCAAGTTGTTGCCATCAGTACAGCACAAGATTCCCAACCGTGTTCCTTTTGGTTGTCTGGAAGTACGTAAGTTATGCCCAGTATCGTAGATATTTCTTTTTTTGGAGAATAGGTTTTGTGAAACTTGATCCTTTAGCCCGTTTGACCCCTATTTTCTGAAAATAAAAATAAATGAAATAAATTTTTTTTGAAAAATAAATAGTTTAAAAAGAAGAATTTTTTTTTTCATTTACGTATAATATTATTTTATGAAAGATTGTGGGGTTGAAAATAGGAGAGAGAATAATGGAATGAAATTTAATGAGGATGAAACGGGGGCTTAATGTGTAGATAAAAATTATAAAAAAATTTAAATTAATATACAAAATTATTTTATTGAGTAAATATGTCATGTCATTAAGAATGAGGTTGGAGAAAATTAAATTTTAATAAAATAGAGCTAAACAAGGGAAATTTGTACTTAAATAGTCAAATAACTTTTCATTGGTAAAAGTTGGAGTAAGTGTGTTTGGGAGGGTTTTTCAAGCACAAAAGCTCTATAAATTCAGCTTACACGATAAGCTCAAGTTAGTATATATTTAATGAATCTTTTAAATTGATCGGGATGTTTAGGGGTTTTCTTAATAATAAAGATGATGAACTTTCAATCTTTCCTCTAGAAAATTCTCGAGTCTTATAGGAGATGATGTTTTGAGGGTCGGGCGAATGTTGGAAACAACTGAGTGTTGGAATCTTCTCATAGGGAGAAAAATATTTGCATCGGCGTGGGCTATTGATGTTATGGTTTGCGAAAGGAGACCGTCTACAGATAGATTTCCTTAAGAGGCATGTGATGTGGAGGTGGCATCTTGCTCCAACTAGCTACACTTTGTGACACAACCGATGCACCCATTGTGAAGTCATTCGACTAAGCAGTCCAAAGTAACATTGCTGCTATGCTTCACTATTGATTGAGTTGTATATGCCGATACATAATTTTAATACGACATCATCGAACTCAATTATTCTTATTAATCTAGTAAAATATAAAATTATTTAAACTATCCTGCACATATATCGACGAAATGTTAGAGTAATTTGTTCGATTTAAAATGTCTTCTTAAAATGTTTATGACATGTTTTACCATAAAATTATTGTTTATCGTCTTAGGTATGTGCGTGCGTGTGTGTTCCAATGTGTTGATGGGTTAAAATATACTATATAAATTATTATACACACACACATATATATATAGAGAGAGAGAGAGAGAGATTTTGCTCAATTAAATATAACCAAAAATATAATTATTTGATGTCAAACAATTGAAATAATGTTCATAAATTTTTGAATTGCTAACTAAACAGTCAACATGTTTTTAGTAAAATTCTTCTAGAAAACTTTGTTGACAAAATAAATACTCACAAGTCACAAAAACTATGCCAAATAAGTCCTAGGTTACTCATGCTAATAATAAAATAAATTATTCAAATACGTTTGAGAAAAAAATTACGTAAAAGTAACTTATGTACTTTAATTTAAGTTTAGCTAAATATGCTCGAAAAGACTCTTTTACGACCATAAATTTGCAAGTTAAGTAAAGTAAAGATATTCATGATAAGTCGTTAATATAGTTCGTTAAATGCACGTAACAAGATTGTAACATAACTGATTTAGCAAAAAGATGATAAAATTTAGATGGACTTGCATTGTGAGGATTCTCTTCATTAAGGTAAGGTTTCATATTGTAAATTACATCAACCACACGTCAAGAGAAGGGCAAAGATGTTTGAGACGTTTTTTCCTCGCATAACAAATATCATAGTACGACATGCAATTATTTACTTAAAGTTAAAATCATACGAAATAAACATTGAAATATGACGCCCAATTATTTATAAAAAGTCGAAATCACGTATTGGAATCAACCACTACTTTTCGACTACATTTCAAAATCGATAACCATGTTGTGGTGAATGATGATAATTTGTTGATGTGAAGTTAACGTATTTCCAATTTATTGACCACATTGTAGTGTGTAAGTATTTCTTTTTGTATGAATTTGACCCAAAAAAATCCTGTGTATACGCTAAATAATCAAGAAAAGCCAAACACAAGGTTGAATGATTTTTGTTAATTGATATGATTTTGAATTGTCTCGTGCAATATGGCCACAAAAATTGGGGTGGTGGTCCGTGGGGGCTGCATCAATAATGAACTTTCAATTTTCTATTATTTTAGCTTCATGCTCCAATCAAATTTGAGAAAAGAAGGATATTTCTAAAATCTTCTCCACAACTTACATTGTAAAAGTTTATTTGGTTCAACGAAAAATTCTTTTTTTTTTTTTTGAAATGAATAATTAAAAAGTTATAAGGCCTTGTTTGAGTCGTTTTCTTTCAAAAAAATATATTTTTAAACAGTGACATCATTTCAACCACACATTCTTCAATAAAATAATATTACACGCGAATATAAAACTTTTCCACTTTTTCATCAATCTACTATTCCAAAATACATTCTTTCAAAATATTGTGACTCAAACACACACTAAAAGTATTAAATGGCAAGATTGCTAACAACTGTTTTATGGTCTATATTATCGAAAATTGCACTTGTAGTGTTATCATGTGCATGTATAGATGCAAGCTCCTAGCTATATTTGCTATCATTTATATTTGCCACCCGTGTATTGCGGTGGCTGCCCCTTGGGGATCCTGAGTACTGGACGGACGGACGGTATGCCACTCGTGTTATCTTGCTCCATAATAATAATATTTAAAATTACTTTCGTGTTTAACATTGTTCATTATATGTCACCAGTTTAATCATTTATCAAGTTATTACTGCTTATGTCGTGTGAGATAACTACTTTCACACACTACGTATCACGAATTTCCAACTTCAATTACATTTATTCCAAGTTACGGCGAATATTTTTCACACAATTAGACTCAAAAGTTCACATTTTTTTTTTTTGTCAATTTATTCTCATGACAAATCAAATAAGATATTATTTTTAAATAATTGGACAATTGTTGGTGAATTACCACCTTATAAAATTCCACGTGTACTTCAATGATTGTTCTAACTTTAGGGTCCATTTCACTGATCATTTGATGATGAATAATGATATTTTGGCATTAAACTTTTTTTGTACTGTAGATCGGCGGGTAAGGTGTAACCATAAGACGGCGGACTAGATTACATATCTACAAACAGGTACAACCCACCATTCCTTATCCAATGATTACATCACACGTGGCCTACGCAATCAAATTGTCTCCGTGTCATTTTTAGATTTGTCAGGATCAGCGCCATCTCTCCCATCCTCAGTTTTATCATGTACTAATTTACACGTTCATAATATTTGATTGAAAAATAAAAATATTTAGTCTTGTTGGTCTCTCTTTTCTTTTTAACAACATAATTTTCAATAAAAAATATTATATGTAAATTAAAAAAATTTCACTCTTTTTTAACCACATATTCTTCAAAAAAACACTATTCCAAAATACATTTTTTCCCCAAAATTTGGTTTTAACGGAAGACAAACAAGATTTTTTACGTTTTATATGTCTAATAGTCCTATTATACTTTGCCCTGTTTGGTCTAATTAAAAAAAAAATTGTAAAAAAAGAGTTAAAATCTGATTTGATCCATAACTTTCATCAACTTTTTAAACATAAATTTCATTAATTTTTTACTAAAAATCTGATTTTTAGCGAAATCAAACAAGAGCTTGAACAATCTCCTAAATTATCGATAGTTTGCATAATGTTGTTGGATTGGTCGTATTGTGTTAAGAAATAACAACTCTATTTGTGGTGGCTCAATTCGTTCTAAAAAACTTATGCACGAAAGAATTTATAAAGAACTAACAATGTTTGATACCGTGATTCACAATTTTTAAATGAAGACAAGGTCTATTACTTATTTACATTCTTCACGTGACACCATAAAAATTAATTCAGACTCTCCTGCTAGGACACCTTTAAATATGAACTATCAAAATTTTACTTGATATTACAATGGACAAGGTGACCATATACTAACCAAGACATCGAAACCTGATATTTTGTGCTATAAATAGGTCCTTCTCTCAAGCCTTCTCCCACATTCAGTTTTCACTTGACATTCTTTGTTCTTGTAAAATCTGGGCAAATCCAGTTGGTTCTTCTTCAAAGGTACGTATATTTCTAAATTGTTATTGTTATTATTTTTTAACAATGCTCAGTTTCAAAACAATAAACTATACATATCACCATGAAGTGACTAGTGACTAACCCGAGCAAGAAAAAGTTCTACCGTTCTTCATGGAAAGAGAACTCGTCTTTCTTCAACTGGCTCGTAAGATGAAGCCGATCAAGTGGTTATAAGTTCCCGAGTTAAGTTAATTTGGCAATATGATATGAGATGCAACCAGAGTAGTTACAGTCCATTCGTTTTTAGAATTGACGTTCATGACGACCCATATTTCAAAATGACAGACTTGTTAAATCGAAATGGTCAATAAGAGAGAGTGCTCAAGCGATTTTAAGCTGTTTTTATTTGTTATCTGATTCATTTTGTGTCATCTTCTGATTTTGCCGAGAAGAAAAGATTACCGCATTGAAGAAGCCATGACAATCAAGCCAATTGTACGAATTGTGGACGGGAAACTGGTGGTTAAGGACCGGACCATATTGACAAACGTGCCGGACAATGTGATAGCCACCTCTGGAGCCTCGGCCGGGCCGGTGGAGGGCATGTTCTTGGGGGCCGAGTTCGACCACGATAACAGCTGCCACGTGGTGTCTCTTGGGACGCTGCTCGAGGTACGATTCTTGGCTTGCTTCAGGTTCAAATTGTGGTGGATGGCCCAGAAAATGGGGGACAAGGGCCGAGACGTTCCCCTGGAAACTCAGTTCTTGTTGATGGAAACAAAAGATGAATCAAATTTAGAGTCAGATGTTATTGGAAATGAGGATAACAACGTTGTTTACACAGTGTTTTTGCCTTTGGTTGAGGGACCATTCAAAGCTTGTCTTCAGGGGAATGTTCATGATGAGCTTGAATTGTGTTTAGAGAGTGGGGATATCGACACTGTAGGGTCGACATTCGCTCATTCAGTTTACATTAATTCAGGTACTGATCCATACGTCATGATATACGATGCGATGACAGCCATCAAATTGCATCTCGGGACATTTAGGCTTAGGCACGAGAAAAAGTTGCCCGGATTTGTGGATTATTTCGGGTGGTGCACATGGGATGCTTTCTACCAAGAGGTGACTCAAGAGGGGGTTGAGGCTGGCCTCGAAAGTCTCACTGCAGGCGGGACCCCTCCAAAGTTCATCATCATCGATGATGGCTGGCAATCGGTCGCAGGCGATTACGAAAACAATGAACAACAACAACGACCCCTTCTAAGACTAACCGGAATCAAAGAAAACTCGAAATTCCAAAACAAAAACGACCCAACAGAGGGAATCAAGAACTTAGTCAACATTGCGAAACACAAGCACGGACTCAAATATGTCTACGTATGGCACGCGATAACCGGCTACTGGGGCGGCGTCCATCCCGGCGTGAAAGAAATGGAGGAATACGGATCAAAAATGCAGTATCCAAAGCTGTGCAAGGGAGTTCTAGAGAATGAACCAGGGTGGAAAACTGATGCAATTGCAATGCAAGGATTGGGATTAGTGAATCCCAAAAATGTGCAGAAATTTTACAATGAATTGCATAGTTATTTAGCCTCTGCTGGGGTTGATGGAGTAAAAGTAGATGCACAATGCATACTGGAAACACTAGGGGCAGGACTTGGGGGTAGAGTTGAATTAACAAAGCAATATCATCAGGCACTTGATACTTCTGTTGCTGGGAATTTTCCTGATAATGGCTGCATTTCTTGCATGAGTCACAATCTTGAATCCCTTTATTGGTATGTTTTTCTTATACATGTTTGGCTAGGCTTTAAAACTCTAAAGTAGTGGTCAAAGTTAAAAATAAGTTATTACCGTGTGTTTTGATCTAACGCTCTAAAACAAACCAGCTCAAAACAAGCAGCTATTGTGAGAGCGTCGGATGATTTCTACCCACGGGATCCTGTTTCCCATACAATTCACATTGCTGCAGTTGCATACAACAGTGTGTTCCTTGGAGACATAATGCTAACTGATTGGGACATGTTCCATTCACTCCACCCGGCAGCTGAGTACCATGGATCTGCAAGGGCAATAAGCGGTGGACCTGTCTATGTTAGGTAAGATATCTTCGAGAAGTTTTTGTTACGTTGAACTGGACAAAATTGAAATAAAGACTAGACAGAATCGAATATCACACAGAGAGACACATCATAAAATTTATTAGTTATTTTGTAGAATCTTATTTTGTCTAACGTATCAAATGTACAATAGTTTTATTTGTGCTATCTTCAGAATCAATTCTTGCATTTCTTGAACACATAGTAAACTAACATAGTTTTTGTAAAGTTATTGATTCTTCTTGATCAATTATTGTATTTCTTAAACATACAGTTAACTAACACACAATCTTTGCAACAGTGATGCACCTGGGAAACACAATTTTGATCTTCTGAAGAAGCTAGTTCTACCGGATGGTTCAATTCTTCGAGCTCGGTTACCTGGTCGACCTACCAAGGATTGCCTGTTCTCTGATCCTTCTCGTGACAGTGTTAGGTAGACTTTCTTAATTTAACATTGTTGTTCAGTAAGGAGAACTTCATAAAACTCATCATCAAAAAAGAATGAAGCTAAAATCTCATTTAACGTCAAGATTGTCTTAATACTCTGTGCAATAGACTTCCAATTCAAGGGCCCAAGCAGCCAAACTTCGTTCAAAATCCCACTAAAATCTTACTAACTCTGGTTTTATTTCAGCCTGTTGAAGATATGGAACATCAACAAGTATACTGGAGTACTTGGAGTATACAACTGCCAAGGTGCAGCATGGAACTGTGTTGAGAGGAAGAACACATTCCACCAAACTCAGTCTGAACCAATAACAGGCAATATTAGAGGAAGTGATGTACATCTGATTTCTGAAGTCGTCCTGGACTTCAGCTGGAATGGTATTGTGGCTATATACTCCTACCAGAGTCGTAACCTTGTCACTCTGCAATACAATGTTGCCATACCGGTGTCACTCAAGGTCCTCGAGCACGAGATCTTCACTATTAGTCCAATTAAAGAATTGGTGCCCGGTTTCAGCTTTGCACCCTTGGGCCTCATTGACATGTTCAATGCTGGTGGCGCAATAGAAGAGCTCAATTATGAAGTCAAGGCTGGGACTCAAGTTTCTGGAGCCGGAGAGGAGAACTTGAGCACGAGGGCTGTGGCCATCGTCTCCATGGATGTTAAAGGCTGTGGGCAATTTGGAGCTTACTCTTCAACTAGGCCCAGAAAGTGCACAGTGGGATCATCACCGGTCAAGTCTGAATATGATTCAGCGTGCGGGTTGTTGACCTTGAATTTGCACGATATGCCTCCTGAAGATCAGAAAGTTCACATTGTTGAGATTGAACTATAAACATGCTTTTTAGGCTGGTTAAAGGATCATAACTGGAAATTATGGAGCTAATAAAGTGGACATACCGGAGGTGGTGCAGTACTTTCCATATGCTGGTTAAATCTCGTCCATTCTAGAAATATCTAATACCATGTATCAATCATGTACTACGCATAGACAAGCCCCTCGGGCCGGAGAAAAATTGAGTGTGCCTGTTATCATCTTCCTGGTGGGAAGAAACCAATAATAGTAGAATGGCAATTTAAAAAAGTTCCATCATTATCATGCCTGTTAAATTATGAGATGTTTTTCAGTCAATTTTCTTGATACCATTTGAGAGGGGTTACATTGTTATGATCATAAGCAACAAGAATAAATACACCCCCTGTAATGCTAATTTTTTATCCTGAAACATACCATTGAACAGATGCAGCACTACAAAGAAAAGGCAGTTTGTAACCAGTCTAAATACAACCAAAATTAAGCACAATTTGGAATTCCAAACCAACTGGGAGTAGGAAAATTGCACGTAATTTTATAACAGTTAAGTAGGAAAATCGCAAGTGAAAATACAAAAATCTTTTAACTCATTTTGATATCCACAGAACAGTTCCTTGCACAAGAGAGTTGAATTGCAACTTTCATCAGTAAATGAAGGGATCTTCATTGTTGAAACGAGCTGTTCAATCAAGTGAAAAATACTACGCTCGAATCATTGAGATTTCTGTCAAATTCTAGCCACCATGGCAGAGGAAAACTTGCTCTGGATTTTTCTTGAAGCCTTCTGCTATATATTTCTCGTCTTCCGTCTGCTAAAAGGTCTCCATTTTATCCATGCTTCAAACTTTTCATCTCCCTCCTGGTGCTTGAAATACAAAGTTTCTTCTTCATCTTATTCAAATGGTTGAACAGAACTTCTAATTCCTTGCAAAATTTATCAGTTTTCCACCTCTTCAAAGTTCTCATTAGTCATTACCTACCTGCCTAGAAAGTATTCCAGTATTACTTCACATCAAAAAGTTCCAGCTGCAACTTTGCAATTTCAAAGTGATCACTCTCTTCGTGGTGTGGAGGTTCTGCAGCATGTCAATAACTATTGATTAACAAAATGCAGGCAAAGAGTTTCTTCAATATCATGCTATCCCCAACTGTACTCCTTAAAATGCTTAATTTGCCAATACAATTTTATCTCATGCATTGTAGGATGATCTTCCTCCATTCATCTAGCCAAGGACTGGTTGAAAATAAAATAAAAATAAACAAATGTGTCTTCCCTCTAAAATTTCAATCTTTTACACGAAATAGTTTAACATGGAAACAAATAAGACAAGGTCCAAGGTTAAAATCTTATTGCTAACTCTTTATAAAACTTCTATGAATCCGAATTTTTATTTTGAAAATATTGAATCTTACTTGCACGTGACAGGCATGTTGAAGAAAAAATATATATAAATGAATTCACATTTGTTCTTCATCAAATTTACTACCTCTCTATGTGTTTTCAGCAACAGACGATGGGTTGTGACACATAACTAGACTGCTCTCTTCTACATTTTCCTCTCATCTCCTTTCTTGTGTTTCTTTACTCGAGTTTTATGTTTTTTCTATTAAGCTCAGAACAAGCAAAATTTGTTTTATTTGTTTTGAAAAATTTTCTAGTAGTGGAAGAAGGTTCTTGTTATGTTATTTGCTACTTTGCCAATCTATTAATTGCAACTTTAGAAATCGATTTTATCTTTCTAGTTTCAAATTGAGGCCAACGTTTTAAAGCGCCTTAAGGCTTATGCCTGATTCATGAAGTCTTACTAACAAGGTATTCCCAATAGCCAAAGAAATCGAATCATATTAAGTGCTTAAAAAATCTCTAGATTGGCAAGCACAATATTTAAGTATCACCTGATAATTCAAGGTTACAGTAGATTGCACACACAATGTATCCCAAATTAATATTGAATAATATTACACTTGAGATAGAAAACTTTACCAAAAAAAAAATTGGGAAAAAATCAATTCACATGCCACCTGAACTTGGTTGTCATACAAAACCAAAACCCAAGCAGTTGAGACAGCGTTGTACCCTTCAATCGAAGCAAATGAGAACATCAGTTTCACAACCACTTCAACTATTAAACAGGAACGTTATGGACAACAAAAGGAAAAGGGCTGAAATGAAGATCACTTACCTAAATCCATCACAGGTTGGGCAAACACATGGATTTATAAACACGGGATCATAAAGAGGAGACCACTCTATTATGCCATTAGTTTTACACAGTTTGCAAGGGTAATAACCTATCCCTTTACAAGCCCCACATAGTCTGCCATACTTTTTCTGCAAAAAGACACAGAGTTAATGATATTTCTAACGAAAGAAACATAGCAAATCAAAATTTGACCCCATGAGTTGCAATGCATAATCTATGTGAATTTATTGGACAGAGGAATAGAAACTGAATAAAAACCTCATCAATCATCATATTTTGAATACCTAATGCAATCAAAGTTGATTTACAAAATTTGGCACCCATGCATTCATAAATTACCCTTTTATGTAGAGTGAGACGTCCTGAAATGGAAGAGGTTAAGAAACCAAGAGCAAAAGTTCCACCAAAGAATGCAACAGCAGCTGTAGCAAACATGCGCAGTGTTCGGGAAACACCATTGCTGGACATCTTTTACCACAGTGCTTGTTTGTTTATCCTTTTTAAAGCTTTTTACTGCCAAGTATAAAAATTTGGGTTAGAACACAAGACAGATAACTCCAAAACCACACAATATCATTTGGGGATACAAGCAAATGAGTGATCTCTAGAAAGACCTATTTCTCATAAACCATTTTCCAATTTTTACACCTCAAAACTTCTAGATCCTTTTGTTTGCATCTCACCTATCTTTTGTTCCTTTTTTTT